TGGAGAGAAAGAAGAACACATCGGAAAAAACACTCGAAACACTCTGTATACACTTAATATACATTCAGTATACACTGGATATACACTCTGTATATACTGGATTATACACTCTGTATACACTGCGTATACACTGAAAAAACGAATTGCAATCTGATATTCTCTTCAGTAAGAATTCAACATTGGCTATACTTTGCATTCCTTCCTCTCAGAATTTCCATTCGACTTCTGAGTTGTCCTCCTTATTCTGCATTGTTTTTAACTACAAACAAAGCATCCATAAGTGTGATTTGCTGCCGAACTTTGTGTTCGCTGAAACACTGGGGTTTGAAGTACCGCTACACCAGTGTGCAATTCGTTCTATCCTGGGAGGAAATAATCTATAACCTTGGGTACTAGGAGGGGATTAAATTCCTTAAGGAAACACTGTGAATTTAATGGGCTCGAATTAATTTCTGTTTTTATTTATATTTACGTTTATAAGCTAACGTTCTAATTTCCAGAATCATTATTTACAAATATAGACAAGAAAATAACAGAAGTTTCATATCAGCGTACATAAGAAAAGAGAGCTATGTTATACTAGTCTTAGCATTTGGTTATTTAGAGCAAACTTTGTGATTTTCTCATAATTATTATGTGGTATTAAATATTTTTGAATAGTAAACCATGTCTTAATGGAATTCTAAAATTACCTTAATTCATATTAAAGTTGGTGAGGTCCAAAATAGGGCGAAAAATCAGATTGAATGAATATAGGTCGCCTATGCAACATCTTTATTTACACGGCTTCGCTACTAAAAGGAAAATAATCAACCGAAATATCATTATTTTCAAGGCATTCCAATAAAATAGCATCAATGAGCGCAACCAAATGAAATTTAGTGGAAAAAGTTAGTGAGTCTGAATTCAAAAATCAGAATAAATGGCAATAAAATAAGATTGAGTGTATGTAATTTACCTATTTATCACTCTTGCTTACTCTTGCTTTTTCTTTTGAAACTCTTTCTTTTGCTCTTTGAGGGTCTATCGGAAACCGTCTTTCTATATACAACACTATCTTTTCCAGACCCCACTAGTGAGATTACACAGGGTTGTTGTTGTTGTACTTTTTCTTTTGAAAAGGAAAATCCCTAATAAAATATCATGATTTTCAGTTCTTCTTTGTAGAAGACTAAATCAAGAAACAAAAGAATAAGACCAACAAACGAAGAATAATTTAAACTTTATAGAAGCGAAATTCATTACATAAAACTGCTTAAATTAATAATATAAAAACCCAAATTCTAACTAAAGACTTAATTCAGTGCTTGGTACAATCAGTAGGCAAGAAAGAGAGTCTTTCGTGTATAAGATCATATCCAATAAGGTAATTCACTTGCGCCAAGTTTCCAAATATAGCAATTTCATCGGCTGGCACAATTGTCAAACAAGCCAAACCTTCATCAACTTCTGCAAATGTACTCGTTGGTAACAACTCAACATCAGCATTCGTGAAATGGAACACAATCTCAGGAGCATTAATAACACCATTTTTAGACTCGTAACATAGCGCAAAAGTTCCGGTCGGATCCTCCTTCCTTTTACCTGTCGAGAAATGATATAATTAAATAATTAAAATTGGAATCTGCCGATCTATATAACAGTTAAACCTTTTAATGAAATGGTCACACAATTTAACGTTACCTTTGATCGTATCCACCAATGTTGATTCCAAATTCTCGTAAAAATCACTAGGGACAAATGTCAATGTCGTCCCAGAATCAATTATCATATTCCCTAATTCACCATCAGCAGCAAAAGAACTTAGTCTCGAACTCTTGAATGCCAACTTCTTTTTCCCAACACTAACACTTTCAAGATTTATATAGTAGTACGTTCTGGGCTCCTTTAGAATTATAGGAGTTGTAACAACTTTAGGTCCAGAAAGACGTGCTAAAGGTCCAAAACTAATATGACTTGTAGCATTAGAAGCAGAAGAAGATGATAAATCCAATGGGATTAAACAATAAGAGAATGATCCAACCACTTCTTTATCGAGTTGTTTAACGATTGAGATATTTGAACCTCCTAATCCAACGATCCCAGAAGTCAAATTTGTGAACGTGCCACCATTATCATGGCCACAACCAAATACAACATTAGGAAAAGAAACTTTGCTTTTGTCAGTTTTTGAAGGAAAATTTAAGGTATCAAAAGTGAAGGTCTCAAAAGCAACATCACCAACACTATGTGATTGGTCACCATAACTCATCTCATATTCACAAACATTTTTTCTAACACAAGTGGTACTCCCCACTATCTCACATGCCTTAGTATCACACTTGACAGTTTTATAAGTGGAGCTTTTTCTAGAATCAAAGAGCGGTGCTGTTTGTTGAAAACAATCGGCACAAGGCTTGCATTGAATCCATGTCAAGTCACTACCAGTGTCAGCAATCGCAACGGTTTCCACGGGGGGTGTACCAATTGAGAATTTCATGAGGTATTCACCGGGGATTGGAATGACATCAGATTGGAATTCTTTTTGGTGGATAAAGGAACGCTCTAGTGACGATGATGAAGTGGCAGCTTTGAAAAAAGATGCACGGGAAAAGGACCGGTGGTAGGCATCTCTAAGGCGTCGGGAGGGGGTGATAGAAGGGTTGTACAACGGAGAAAGAGGAGAATCGCGGTGGATGAGATCAAGAGTGAATCCTTTTACACCATGATGGTTGGTTTTGGTTTTTCGACAAGAAACTAAAGCTAAAAAGGCTAAGAAGAATAAGAGGCTAAAAGAGTTTTTGTGATTCATCTCCATGGCTAGGGTTTAAGAATAGTTGTAGAACTTGGGAGGATTTATGCAAAACAGAAGTTGATAATTAGTCCCATTTTATAGGCCCAAAAAAAAAGAGTGAATGCATGTAAGAATATGTGTTCTGGTTATGAGCAAAACGATGCATGTAAGAATATGGAAAGTCCGGGAAATTGGGAATTTGATCGGGGAGGGGGGAGGTNTGAAATTATATAAATTGATTGCATAAAGAGTTTTCCCATAAAACAGATGGACACGAGTAGGTTAATTAATTCTGCGAAGATACAATGTAATAAAAATGAAGATTTTTGTTTGTACATACTTCTTCCACGCTACTTTTATTGCAGATCTTGTCCATGTTAAAAACGACTATTACCACCTGTTTGGAAAGTAACCTTGTAATTGAATTTGAGTGTAATTTGATGTAATTACACAGTTTTGCTATGTTTGTCTGACCAAGTCAGCAAGTAATTGATCGGGTATAATTACTCTTCAATTCTCAAGGGAAGACTGAAAATTGCTAGTAATTACATGGTTATGTTTTGAATCTATTTTCTTTTCTTTTTAATTTACTTTTTATTTCTATTCTTTTTTCCTTTTTAATTCATTTTATTTTAACTATTAAAATTCTTTTTTTCAAATATTATTCTTTTTACATTATTTATCTTTTATTTTCTTATTTCTTATTTTTCAACCATTACTTCACGTGTTTCTATATAATCTCTTATATTTTCTTTCTTACTTAATCATTTTATTTTTTTATTATTTTTATACTTAGCTATGTTATTATTCTAAATTTTAAAAAAAAGTTATATTCATAATCTTAGAATAAGTCATCCACAAACTTGACTTATAATGAGTAATGTCATATTACATCACGCACTCTTTATCCACTCGTGAAGTTAAAAGATGATAAGTTTAACTTCTAGCGCAGCCAATCAGCCGACGACATGCTAATGGAACAAAAAGGTAATTACATTTTACCAGATTGCGCCAGCTGCCTCATCGGGCGCAATGGCCGGTGCAGGGGTGACCCATTTGACGCATGGGGCGGTGGAGTTTCTAGATTTAATATAATATTCAGTACAACTTCCTCCTCTTACACAATTACGTGATATTACCAGCTTTAGTTTTTCCCAAAATAATGCTCTCAAGCTTTCTAAGAATTCCCTAAACGATTTAGGGCTAGAATCAAAAGTGAACTTGGTAGATTAAAGTAAAGATGCTCGTGATCATCACTGTATCATCTATATATATTCATGTAGTAAAGATGTTGGAAACTCCTTGGAGATGAAAATAATCACCATAAAAGTGTAAAAATTTAGGAAGCGTAGGTAGCCCTTCAGAAAGATATGTAAGGCAGTCTTCTTCCTTGGCATGACTTGATATAAACGCTTCTTTCCAATTGATCCTCATGTTGTACGACTGAATTGGTCTAAGTATTTCTTGAAACATTATTCATGTTTTTGTATATTCTTTACCAGTGGCATTTTCTTGTCTAGTCTAAGATGTTTTCGGATAATATCTTGAGGTTGTGAAATGTAGTTCATTCTGAGTCTAACTCTAATATCTCTTGTGATTGGCCTTGCATTGTATATGTGTATCTATTTTGCTCAACCGAGCCCCCGATGAGGCCGGATACGAAATGATGTGTTAGGCGATATCACCGAGCCCTACATGAGGCCGGGTATGGAATAATGTGTCACGTGATATAACTGAATGCTCTTGAGGCCAGGCACAACTGAGACCTCCTGAGGCCGGGTACGGTGTGATGAAGACGTGAGACTTACCGAGTCGTCTCTAAGGCCAGGTACGATATGACATGAAATGTCCCAAAGAGAGGATGAACATGATATGAGATGATATGCCCCAAAATGTTTCTAAGCAATATTGTATTGTATTAAATATTTTATGCATAGCCCTAATGAGTGTCTTGATTTGTACAAAGCTTGCATACATTCATGATCCATAGATACTGCAGTGCAGGCCCCCTGTGGCTTGTCGTTGGTGGCCAGGTTGCAATTGGGTATTTATATCTCAAATGTTATGCTTTTAGTTTACATTTATATTATCGGCTTTACATACTCAGTACATCTCTCGTAGTGACGCTCCTTTCTTTTGGGCGTTATTTTCATGCTCACAGATACACATAGACCCGGTGATGTCCCCCCCCCCAGTAGGATGTACGTTCCAACTGTTAGTTGTCGCACTCCACTTCTTTCGTAGTAGTTGTACAGAAGTCGATAGATATTGAAGTATGTGTTTCTGTTGTTTGGGTCTGGTGGGGCCCTATCCCGACCAAGTTATGCAATATGACACTCTTAAAGTCTTGTAGACTAGGGTCCGGTATATATGTAAATGTTGGTTATAACTCTCTCTCTT